GATGACAGAAATTATGAAGTATCTTATAAAAGCCCTGATTTATGGAGATGCATATAATCCTATGACCATATGGAGTTCCAAATTTAAAATACTTTTCATGAATTCTACCCATAGGGAATATAAGCACAGAAGACTGCTACATGCAAAACAAACTTCCCAAAGGAAGCCAGATTATCTGCTACCTTATTTTGATAACCACCTTTTATAAAAGCAAGTAAAATGTGGTAGATATTAATCTATCACTATTTCACAAAAGCAGCTGCTACAATGACACTTGTAATTGTTAGTCTGAGCAGGAGAGAGAGAGATAAATAGAATTGTTAAGACAGGAAAGGAACTGACTGAAGATGATATAATATTGTGCTGCGCTGCAAGGATAATTACAGGCTTGGAGTAATATTGCCCATCCTGAAAGATTTGTTATTGGGAATGATCTTATTAAATATTTGCATTAGTAATATGCACCTAAAAGTCTGTGTTTACTAATGAAACTTGAAGAGTATTAAGTTGGCCACCAATATTAAATAGTGAAGAATGGGACTCACACAGGGGAAAAAAAAAAATCACCAGAAATGGGATGGAAGTGAATAGAATTACACCTTAAACCTGGCCTTTCAGAATTAGAGAAATGATAAAGCAGAATGACTTGTGTGTTTATAACCTGTCTGTGGATAAACATGTAATGAAGGTGTGAAAGAGGCAAGTGAGATCTCCTTCTTATTAAAGTCTTGTCTGGGAATTACTACTGTTGCACTAAATGTTGGTAAGACTTCATCTGAAATCTAGGCTATTTTTCTTCAGGAAAGTTTTATTCCAACTAGAAAAGAGAAAGATCACATGGGCACATGGTGAACCCAGAGGATGGACTACAGTGCTCTGGTTCTCTCACTGCTCAAAGCAGGTCCTCGGTCGATGTGTGCTCTTGCTGCCTTCTGGACCCTGCACCTGGATTCTCTCTTGCACAAGACAAGATGAAGTGAGGAGGGCAGAGTCCAGTCAGACTGAAATTGGGAGTGCTCCCAGTTTCACCCCACTTACATGCAGCTTTACAAATTACTCTATTACAACTATGTCCGAGATAGAAAAAACATGATGCTAAAGCAGCAGCAAGAGTTACTGATTCAAAATAACAATAAAGAATATTGTTGAAGCTGTAACTTAACTGCTACTGGTGTGAAAATTTCAAAAATAAATTTATAAACTTTAAAAGATAGGAAGTGCTAGTAAACTGGGAAGAGGCCAAAGAGAGGTGAAGACAGTGTGCCCAAAGAGGGTGGGCAATGAGAGGAATAAACCTCCTAGACTTCAACATCATCTTCTACACACAGAGATACTCTAGATGTGATAAAACAATGAAGTTGCCATGGGATAGCTTGCTTGGGTGACACGTCTTCCTTGAACAAGGTCACCTGGTGCCATGGGTAGCAGATCCCAGGTGAAATGAGCTTGGGACCCATGTGTTTGTGACAATCCAAAGCAACTTGGTAAGAAAGATACAAATGCTACTATTGTAGGAAACAGGGAGAGACCTTGTTTTCTCCTTGAACTTTGCGTTCTTGCATAAATGGAATACCAAAACATTGTAGAGTGCTTTTGTAATATTTATTTTCAGTCTGAAGACAGTTTGTAGCATGACAGACACTGGCAGTGGAAATGCAGGGTTGGACCAATCCAAATGGGCCCTCTCAGTGAAAGAGATCCATTTCTTTGGCTTTATGGAAGAGATACTATGACAATAGCCTCCTAACAATAAACACAAAGCTTTTAAATGCTAAGTAAACACTGCATTTGGAAGGGTAATATGATTTTAGAGATACTATGAAGAAAACCTGTTCAACCAACTTGTCCAAGAAGCTGAAGCTGACATACCCACTATCATTAAAGGTGTCTGATATAGTCTACAGCATGGCATCCTTTACCTGCTAACCTAGAAGGATGGGTACCCCTGCCACTGCCATGTTCCCATCACTGTGAAATCATTTTAACATTGATTCAGGCAGAAGGCTGTTGTCTATTTTGTTCCCAGTTCCTGCAGCAATTGGCTGTTCCCCGAGTTTCTTCTATAACAGAATAAACAAAACTAACTACATTCAGCTTATGCACCTCGTTTGAAAATATTTAGTCTTTCAGTACCCAGAAGCCCCAAGGCCAGAATGAGCTCAGTTTCTGATGAACCTGATGAGAAATTAAATATTCAGTGTATGTATCCCTTGTCCCCTTTTTACTCTTTTCGTTTTATTTTGGATTATAATAAGAAAGTGATTGTCCTGGGTCTTCAAGCCCAAGTCCCAGCTCTCACAAGCAATACACCCCTGCTCATAAAACAGTATCCTAAACCCCAGGTATTTAGTTCTTCCTGTATTGATTGCTTTGATAGTAAATTTACTATGATTCTTTTGTCCTTTGGTTTAAATAGTGATGGGTATTTTTCTTGGTGAAATTTACCTCAATTTATTAATAAAGCAATCATATCTCCTCTCAGTCCCTGTTTTGTTTGGCTCAGCTGCCAAGCTCTTTCAAAAAGTGTATCAGACATAACGTGAAGGAAGAAATGCACTAGCCATAAAGTGAGTTACAACATATATTCCAAGTGTTTGATACAGCCCTTCTCAAGCAAGAAGAGTAGCTAGCTCTTGAAGTTCAGCACCTTCAGTGGCAGAGAGCTGTCCTGCCAAAGGGGAAGAATTCAAACCCTGCTGACAGCAAGCACAGTGAGCCTTCGCACCAACAGCAAATGGAGGTCTGGAAGGACATGCTAAATAGTGGTTCACTAGGCTGGGGTATTTTCATCATAGACACTAACATATGAGAGCAACAATCCCAGCTTACTGTAACAGCACACAGTACATTTTTCTATACATTGCAAAGAGGATGATAGAAATTTGAATAATTGATGACTAACCTAACAACACATGTTTTCTGAAGTCAAATCTATAGTAAATTATAGTGAATTAAATCTTTCTAAAGTAAACTTCCCAGCCAACAGTGGAATATCACAAGCACCCTGCTAACTTACCTGGCTCCATTGAGGTTTCTGTATACAATATTCCCTTCTCTGACTTCAACTCTACCCGCTGTCAGGCTCCATTAGGCATAATGAGATCCAGACAGATTCAAGATTAAGCAACTTTTTTATAAAATCCAATTGAGGACTTTCTTACCTTGAGGGTGCAGCTGATATTACATTAACCAGATTGTGCACACTTCCCATGCAAGTACTAAAGGCATATATATATATATATGCAGAGTGACTTAATTCTCTTGGGAAATAGGTGGGGGCTTTCTGGATTCCTCCCACCATAGACATCATGATCAAGCTTAGCTAATTGAGGCATTGTGAGGAAAAGGGTGCTCCTTAACAAGGCCTTATTTTTTCCAGAAGCAATATGGGAGTGCTGTTGTCTAGCATAGGAAGTCTGTGCAGATCATTAGGACAGTAATAGTCACGTGGAGAGAGGGGAACCAGGTTTAAAAAGCTCCTTCCTGGCTAGGATACAGCCTCAGCTCCCAGAGAGACTGCAGTACCCGAGTGGTGGAACCAAGGAGGAGGAATACCCCTTCTGTCATCTTCCCCCTCCCATAGGTACCAGGGAATGGGACAGAGACACCCCCAGTGCTACCTGGTGAGTCTGTCTGCAAGATGGCTTTGGGGCTCTGCAGTGAGAAGCAGAGGTTCTCCTCATGCCCAGAGAAGAGCTTGTCCTTGACTTGCTGTGGGAGAATGGGTGTGATGCTCACTGCAAAGCAGGGGAATGGGGCAGATGTGGGGGCACTGCACATATTATGGGTCTGTATTTGATGCATGTGGTGGCAGTGACTGAGGGATGTTATGAGGAACAAGTAGCAGTGTATCTGCACATGGGTGTAAAAATGTGGGTTTTACAGCAAGTGTTTGCAGGGTACTATGTAATGACTGTGCATAGGGGAAGTACTTTCAGCATGTGTGGCATGAAGTGTCAAAAAGAAGAGAGGAAATGGTCTTATGAGGTGTTTTCAGAGATGAGGGTGTGAAATCAGAGAGTAACCGATAGAGAACATATGAGCTGCATGTTCTAAGCATCCAATTGCTCTGAAACAGCACAGCCACAGCTCAAATGCGGCACCCAGATGACAGCTTTAGGATCCAAGTCACAGCTTGGGTCTTGGACCTTGAACCAAGAGCTTTTTGTGAAGGCAGAAAATCTGCAAATTGTCAAAAGCTGTCTTACTAGCATTTTTTAGTCTCTGGCCTAAAGAGAGAAAGGGGAATATGCCAGTATGTGAGCTTTAACTCTGAGTTGGGGCTCTTTTTCACATTTATGATTACAACCCTGTGTTACCAGTCCTGGGAAGTCCTAGCAGAGAGAATAAGAGCAGTAAATGGCACCACCACCAAGCATCCTCTGCAGTCCAACCTATTCTCATTGACGACAGGCAGAAGGGAAGCTACTCCACACTGGGGAAGGGGAGCCCATTTCTGCCTTATGTGCTCAAATTTTGTTCCCATAACAGAGACTGAACCTAGAATTACTGCTTACAGCTGTAACAGAACAGCCCCTGAAAGCCATTTTTGCAGCTGTATTTAGCCAACTTTTGGCACTAATCCCTGTTGTTCTGCCAGCTCATTTTTTTTGCTGATTTTACATGTAAAAGACTCAGGTCCCATTTGGAATAGCAGCAAATAGTTAACGTCCTGCAAATACTTCAACCTGACAACTGAATCCTACCAGGCCCACTCTTGCCAGGAAAGAAAAAGCTGGGCATCCATCCGTCCTGGCATACGAACATCAGCAGCGTCCAGCTCTGCCAGTCAACTTGCACCCCGCCAGGTCCTGATGTCAAAAGCCAAATTCTACTGTTTAACTAGGGCCACTCTAGCAGACAGGGAGAAGCTGCCTCTGTACGGTTTAACCAAGGCCACTCTAACAGACAGGGGGAAGCTGCCTCTGTACTGCAGCTCGGCCGGGAAAGGAGGGAAATGAGCAGTCCGGTTTAGCTCTACCTGTTGCCCGCTCCCGGCATCACCCGATTGCTCGAGCGGGGCCCCGCGGCAGAACGAGCCCGAGCTGTCCAGCTCAAGGTGGACCCGCCACTGTCGGAGGGTCAGGGCAGAGTTCCCGCAACTCACGGTGCAGGTCGGGAGGCTGCCGCTGGTGCCCGGTGCCGTGTCCAGGTGCGCCCGCTGTTCTGGGCAGGCTGCGGGCAGCGGCGCTGCTCCCGCTCCCTGCTGCTCGCCGGCGGAGGCAGGAAGGGCGCGGGCAGCCCCGCTGCTCCCCGGGGGCTCCCCGGCTGGCGCGGGGGCAGCGGTCCCCCCTCTCCCGCCTCATTTGCATGGCTCTTATTACGGCCGTGCCTCGCTCCTGCCGCTCTGACACCGGCGGGCTGGAGCGGCGGAGTCGCCTCCAGCGGGAAGTGCACTTCCGTTATCTGCGTTCCCGCACCCCGGCTAGCCCGCTCCCCCTCCTCAGCTCGCTCTCTCTGGATGTTTAAGGCAAGGATGAACAAACAGATCCAGCCCGACCGCAAAGTGTCGGTGGTGGCCCCCTTGCCGGAGCGCGCGGGGCCGCCGCCGCCGCGGAAGGACGTGGAGCTGATCCTGGTGAAGGAGCACAACGGAGTGCAGTACACCAGCAGCAACCTCCTGCCCGCCGCTCCGCGACACGGACCCCCTGACAGGGAGACCTGGGGCAAGAAGATCGACTTCCTCCTCTCCGTCATCGGCTTCGCCGTGGACCTGGCGAACGTTTGGCGCTTTCCGTACCTCTGCTACAAAAATGGAGGGGGTAAGAGTACCGCTTGCGAGGTCTTTTTCCACCCCACACTCCCCCACCGGCCCCACACCCCAAAGCCGCACCGCCGCTCGGGCGGCATCCCCTTCCCTCCTTCCGGAGTTTCAGGGGCAAAGCTGAGCGCCGAGGCTGGCCGCGGGAGCGGGTCTCTGCCTTCTGCCGCTGCTCGCTCCCCTCTCCGCCGCCCTGCCGGGGCACCCCGCGCCCTGCCCGCTCCCCTTCGGAGTGTAACTTCGTTGTGAACACGGGTGTTATTTGCCTTCTGCCTCCACTTCAGCCTGCTGAACGCTTTTTTCGTTCGGAAAAAAAAAAAAAAAAAAAGCATAGAGGGAAAAAAAAAAAACCACACACAAAAAAAAAAACAACCCAAAAAACCAACCGAGCCAGAATCACTTGAGCAGAAAAGTTAGCGCCGAGCCACTGAAAGGTTTTTGAGGGACAGTTTTAACGTGAGAAGGGGTTTTGAGGGACAATTTTAACGTGAGATCAGGACTTCTGCCCCCCATTCTGAAGTTTGGGGGTTCTACCCCCCTCCAGAGAAGGTGGGAGAGTCGTTACAAACCAAACCTCACCTCCTGCACAGTTTGGCACAGCAACAACAAAATTAGACTCACTAACTACAGTTAGCTGAGATTGTCTGGTACATCTTCGGCAAGTCCTAACTTCCAGCATCCCCTACCATCTCCCTGAACAAGGCTGTGTAGTGATGATCCCATGCCGTGACGGAGTAACAGCCCCTGAAAGCCGGGCAGGCACTGGTGTGCTTCCAGATCCCAGGGAGGAGGAGCAGCCGCTGCCCAGCAGATGCGGGACTGTGTGTGAACGGTGAATCATACTGCAGGTAGCTGTGAGACAGAAAGCGTGATCTGTAGGATAGTTATGTATATCTTGATAACGTGGTTGCCTGGTGATAAAAGGCTAATGGTTCACACCTGTAGCATAAAATCCTTGCTTCCTGTGAGAAGAGGAATGTAAAATGGGAAAATCCCTACCAATTAACATGGAATTACATCTGCCCTTGGAACTTTATAGGATACCAAAAAGGGCTGGTTCCAAAATACTTGGTCTATTCTGGTACCTCCAGAATTTCTGAATTAAATCAAAAGATCTCCCTGCTTTCCACCCAGACAGAAAGTAATTAGTTGTGAAAAATAACCTCCATCCTTATTTCATTATGTCCAAAAATAATTCCCGCAACTCCCAGGGCAGCAGCATAATGCATCATGAACCCAGCGGGATCCACCGTATCAGGTGCAGGTGTGGCAGCAGCATCATTCATGCCACTAAGTACACAGACATCGCTGCCAGTCTTCAGGAAAAGAGATATATTCACCTAGCTCACACTGCACAAGGTGATACCCTGATACCCAGAGTGCTTGAACTATTTTCTATCATATTTTGGGTCACATAATTTCCTAACCTGCTTTCTTGATAATTTGCTACCTGCTCAGGCATTGAAGCAACTGAGCAACTCTGCAACTCTCTTCCATTTTCTTTGGTCCCCACATACTACCTTATGTCAGTTCAGCCAGAGAAACCAGTGTCTTCATTAGTATCTTTTAACTCAAGTACTTCTAAATTGCAATGGGGAGAAAGCTAACTATTTGACAGGTACAAGAGGCACTCTTCAGTGAAAAGTTTACCCCAATTCTTCCATGTCATCAAAGAGAAATCAGACCTTTACAAGCAGAGGTAGGGAGGCCCTATGCTAACAAAGTCTCTAGAAGGACTGATAGCTGCTTATTGGTACCAGATTATAACCACTCATTTACTTTGCTCTTCAACAGAGCACAAACTGCAGTATGAAGTGTCTCAACCTAGGATGTCATTCTTGAACACATACATAGCATCACAACATCCTTTATAGGTGCTTAAAAGACTTATTTTACCATAAAATGAAAGTTGGGATAGTCCCGATGGACAAAATCCATCAATAGTGGGCTTTTCCTAAGGAGGTGTTCTCATGGAAGACATCAGCAGCTAGCCTGGATGCAGATGCATAGTCTGTGGCTAGTAGGGGTACAAACTAATTTTTACAATCTGGTGGTATAATGAAGTTTAATCCAATCTAGATATTGAGATTATTTTTCTTTTTCTGTGCTGTTCAATAAAATATGGTCATCAGCATACCACCTACTAGTATTCAGTCAGAACAGAATTTCCAGAATAAACCCTGCGCTGAGAAGTGGGGAATGGAAATAGAGCCAGGGATTGGTTAACAGCTTTATTCCTTCTTTTTATAACAATTGTTTCTATGCTATCTTAACAATTTTCCATCCATTTCCTCCCATGTTGCACACACATACCAATTTCATGTAGTAGAAACTCCTGTAAGAGATTCAGACTCTAAAAGTACTTTGCTGAGTTTTAAGCCAACACAGCCCTTTCTCTCTTTCAAACCATGTTTGGGAGCTTGTTTGCTTTATGGGTAACTATATTATGGGTAACTATGGGTAACTAAGTTCTAAATCACAGACATTCTTGAGCATTTGAGTTTCTCCCCCACCTCATATAGCTACTACAGGAGAGAACCTCTCTAGCACTAGTGCAAGTTTTGCTATTTCAAAAGAATAATTCAATGTGTTTCATGTAACTGTTGGCTTATGTATCTCCATGCAGAAGATGTAAGAATAAAGGTACTGATTGACATGGAGAAAATTTAATTTCATTATCATTCCATAGTTTTGCTGGACTGCCAAGCAAGATAAAGAGACACAATCAGGTGATGTTTCCATGCATGTACAGCATATTGCTCTTTAACACGAGTTTTACAAAGTTGCTCATGATAGGGTTACAGTCGGCTTTTTGATATTTTTAAGAAGCTAGACAAGGCTTAAAAAAAAACAAACAAACCAACAACAACAACAACAACCTACAAAAACTAACCACAAAACCCAGAAAAACATATTAAGCTTGACTTGGATGGCATGTATAAAGTAAAAAATGGTTTTCTCTAAATGGTTTCCTCTCCTCTTTCTCCCACAGTTGCTCTTTATTTTGACAGCATCAGCTATTACTCAGTCTCAGCAATTTACCTAGAGCTGACTTTAGACAAAGACAGTCAAACATGATTACGAACATTCAAACACGATTACCAACTTGTGTATCTTCAACGGATTGATAAAAAAATGACAGTGGAAAGGCAGCATGTTGCAATGCCATAAGTCTTAACCTACTGAAATATTTTAACACTTGTCTTCAGCATAGCAAAAAGAAATACTGTTATCCTTCCAAAATCTACGCACACAAAAGTTTCACAAATGTTCTTAGATGTTGAACAGCAGCATCAAGGACATGGAAGGGGTAGAAAATGGCATTCTCCTTTACATCTGAACAAAGTGACTTGGTGATGTATGGAGTTATGTTCCTGTGACTGGCTATGATCAATTTAAGATGCCAGTAGACACACTGAAGGCCTTTCCATGCTTTTAAAAATAAGTGGTTCTCAATAAAGTGTGAGAACTTAGAGGAATTCAGAAAGAAAGTATAAATACACACTGTATTCCCTTATTCGAAGTTGAAGTTTTAGAAGAACGTGGATGCATATACACTATCACTTTCTTATTAGCCAAATCCTTGAATTTCTTTCTTTGATAAAGTCCAGGGAATTTTCTTGATTAAAAACTAAAACATACAGGCTTTTGGGTTTAGATCTCAAGTTCCACAAATACAAAACTCTGATAGTTTACTTGAGTGAACTTTATGTACATGAGGCATACACCACCCAGTGGTAGTTACATAGACTTTTTTATGTCAGGTAACTTTGAAGACAGCACAAGTAGTGTTAACAGAAAGTCCCATTTGTATTTTAACAAGCTCCCATTAACAGAAACGCTAAAGAGTAAGAAGCATCCAACAGCAATTAAATGCTGAATGAAGAGCCAGAAACATCTGTGTTTTGGGAGTAGCCTGCTGAGAGACCCCAATGGGACTTATGCACAAAGATAGATGGCAGAATGTAACCCTTCTGTGAGCAACTGATTTTTGGAAACATTCTTCTGCTATTAAAATAATAATAGTAATACTTTCCAATCTTTAGTAAGATTTAAAAAGCTAGAGCATTTATTTTTTCATATCAGATACCTACTTCCATAGGACTTGCTTGCCTTACAAGGGCACAGACAGATCCAGTGGCTGTATTAGAATATGAAATGGGCCACAGAAAACTTTCAGGACACTTTAGTATGAACAGACTGGATGAAAACTTGCCCTCCCTGACTTCTTGGAAGCAGGATATACCCACTAAAAGACTCTCTCCCACTCTAAACTGCTTTATAAGATTACCAATAGTCTCTATACAAATTGTAAAATTCTGTGAGCTCTCATTAAGCAGATAAGGCAACAGTGCGGCAGCAGAAATTCTGAAACATCACCATGTCAGGACAGCTGATCAATAAATACCACAACTTGCATGGATTTGACTGGTGCTCCCAGTACAAGCTAAAGGCTCTGTTTGCAGTGAATCAAATACGTTTTACGCAACCCTTCTGTAAGAATTTCAAGGAGCAGTGGATGTTACTGGAGAAATCATCAGCTATGGTCACTCCTACTGCCTGTCCTCACAATGCCATATCCTTATTATAACTCATTTCTGGCAAGGGTCCATTTCTCTTTCTTAAGAAAAGACTCCCTATCTGTAAGACTCTCTGCAAGTAGTCAATATCAGTGTGCTCAACATAAGTCTTCATAACACAGCCAACCTTTTAAGTACTCCCCAGTGCTGTAAGAGGCTATGCTGAATAAAGTGTAAGAAGAGTATTAAAATTAGACTCTCCTCAACTTTGGGAAATATTTATCCTGATATTTGGATTACATCTACAATTTTACTGATGCCAAATGGAGTAGTGCTTACAGTGGGGGAGGACAATGCTCAGTCGTAGTTAACAAAGCTATTGTAGCTTTTGTAGAAAATACTTTTAGTATTAATGTTCATTTTTGATTTGTTTTCCTTCATAGTCATTGGCAAAATTAACACTTCTCATTGAAAACTGTGG